GTTAATAAAAGTATTTTCTATGATTTGCGAACTTTACACTTTAATTTCATTTTGTGAAACACCTTAAAACTGTGGTTTTGAAAGGCGCTTATAGAAATTATTCTTATACGATTATGTCTGTGAAAGGTTCATATCAGCCAATTTTGAAATCGGATGACCAGTAGTTGCGATTCATGTTTTTACATGAGTTAGAAATACAGCTGCCAAAAACTTACATTTCCTGTTAGGTTTGAGGTTACGGTTGATGGGTGGTGGGGTAACATCGCTGAGACGGCTGGGCCTGTGACACAGGGAGGCACTGCTCCCCTTGCGGGCAGGTAACGTTGCAGAGAATCCTGGGAAATCAAAGTGATGTGGCCCAGGGCTCATGGGGATGTAGATATTCTTAGGACTGTCAGCCAGCGCAGCGCTGAGTGGCGAGGAGCCAGGATTCATGGGCACGTAGTTGTCATCCGAGTTGCCGCTGTCTGAGCGAGTCAGGGGGGCTTTGGTTCTCTGGTGTCAAATGGGCACAGCGGTCACATGACATCTCAATCTCTCTGGGCTCAATTTTGCAGGAAAACTGCAACGCTCGACTTGAGCAAATATCGTGGAAATGCATTTTCTATCTCTGCGGTTCATGATGTTGCACCGGCAGAATTTATATGTGCAGTGAAAAGGAGCCAGAGACTCACCAAGTAGGAGCTGAACCCGTCATTGACAGACTCCACAGACTGGCCTGAGTTGCTGAAATGGATGGGACGGTGATGGCTGTTCGTTTCAAAGGAGGAGCCTGTGGAGAGAGAGGCGAGGGGAGAAATCAATGTTTACCACTGCTGTAAACTCTAAAAGGAAAAAGAAAACAAGTGAACCAGAATAGTGCAAAGTCTCCATGAGTCAGATGTGCAATTATCACAGCAATGGAGGCTGATTAAAAGAAAAAAATGACATATCAAGGAGTAAAGTCATGTTTCTAATGGAACAAACACAACATGAGTGACATTTAATTAAACGCTTGACTGGGATATAATTGGTCTTCGCAGCACAGGTGTGTGAACAGCCTGTAGCCTCACTAACAAGGGTCAGAGGTCATATCTTGCTTCCAGCTATATGAGGCCCGAGCACGGACTTTGCAAAGTGGAGAACATAACATATTAAGAGGCCGTGCATTGTGTCTGCAAGTGTTTTTTTTATTGCTCATCAGCCTGGAACGAAACATTCTGGAGTCGCTGTATGGCTTGAATTTCATTACTGTCTCGACAGAACAGTGTCTGCCAGACTGCCTCCTTTGTTTCTGCTCAGCTGCTGGTGTTAAGTCAGTAAAATGAGAGATAGCGGAAGAGGGAGAGAGCGAGGGAAAGTGGGGGAGGAAAGGGAAGTGCAAAGTCGCCGCAACGCCACAAGAGGATGGACCCGTCGAGTCCGTGCTGCATTTTGAAAACAGGAAACAGGTGAAAAGTGCGATTTCAAAAGATCTGAGCGAGTCCACTGAGGCTGTGTTTTAAAGGAAGAAGCGGCGTTCAGGAGGAACACATTAGGAAAAGTGTTGAAGACTAAAAGAAATATGTGTACCTCTGTGCAGCCTGATGTTCTCAACAGCAGGGAGAGTATTCCTGCGTGGGATAACCGACACTGCAGACGTCACCTCTCCGTTCTGGCTTCCTACTGACTGGGGACTCCCCCACTGCCCCTCTGACCCCTGGCTGGGTTTCGGGGGCCTGGGAGGAGGCGCACAGGACGACTCGGAGCTGGAGGGTGTCAAGGCATTGTGATTCTTGTCAAACGTCCGGGGGATCTGATAGAAGGAGCCAGGCGTCGTGGGAATGTCGTAATTGTCAGGCTGACGCTCGTTGTTGTGCATGGTGGCTAGGGCGTTACAGGGCGTTTTGAAGGTGTAATCCTCCTCGTTCTCCAGCTCGGGGTCGCCCAGCCCACTGTGAGTCGGCGCCTCGGAGCTGTGAACCCGCGGAAGCACGTAACAGGCCTCCTGGGACGAGTCGTCGTGCGATGGTAACTGGTGTTTTCCAGGTTTGGGCAAACTGTAGAAACCATGCAACTGGGCACCCATGCCATTTAGACAATGGGAGAAGCCATGAGAGAGTTTCTGCACAGCAGAGTCGCTCCCAACAAACAGATTGCTTCGTGTGGCCTGGGAGAAACTGGCACTCCTGCAACAGGGACAAAGACACACATATAAATCAGTCTGTATGCTGCCTGAATATTTGTCTTAAAACTCAATGCAAGCCTTTGACAATATCATGTGCAGTTGCATTTAATGTAACTGTCCATAGAGCCACAAGGTGGCACTGTAGCACTTCACAGGAAATGTCCCCTCTGAAGGCTGCAGCACATTTAAAAACAGCACATCTCTGCATCAGTGTTTGAGCACCTTGGTGCAGCTACGGCACAAGTATCAAATTCCGGGTTGTTGTTTATTACATTTCTTTGAGGAGCTGATTTGTTTACATGTTTCTTAGCGTGTTGTCAGGGACAGGGCGTCCACGTTCAGAGGGAGAATGCTATGACTTTCTCACAGTTTGTCGGCCTCGGGTTAGACACCCCAGGGACATGCCTCATTTATTCTGGCTCCTTGGCGGGGCCTGACCTTGAGTAGCAACTACAACAAGCGCTCAGTTCAGACGTTTCTAGCCAGTTAGCTGAGCAATCACCCGACTAAGTTGTCCAATGGAAAGATAAGAAATCCTCAAGGAGTCATTTCTTTATGACCATGCTGATCTCACTCTGAGATTTTATTCACATGCATTAGCAACTAATGTTCTTGAATATAAATGGAACAAATTTGAATGAATAATGCATCAAAGTGATGTAATTAATATTGACATAACATTTTGCTGCCTCCTCAGGATTTCGATCATCAATCAATAATTTTGTTCATAATTTTTCCTTCCGTCACTGGAAACTGAACGGCGGCTTTTCACAAAGATTAATTCACACCATTCGGTCATCAGACCAATTTTAATCTGACGTAAATCATAGCTCGTTACCAGATGCCAGTCTTAATTAGCCGAAACACGGAGCAGAAGCTGGTGCAAGAGTGACGGAAACATCTGCATAAAGCTGATGAGATGGATCATGAGGTTTGATTTCCTGCGTCTCACTGAGGTCCAGCGCAGCAGATTTATGTGCAAATTGTGCGGCTGAGAGGGCAATTCTATCCTGGGCGAGTCCAAACCTATAGCAGTGATGAATTGCAGCCTCAACCTCATTGATCATCTAACTGTACGGCCTCTCTGCAGAATGGCATCATTATTACAGCTGCCTTTTGATTCTCGGAAGTGGGCACTGGAGGTGAGATGAATGTTAATGTGCAACTCAGGAGTGCATTTAATATAAAGTCTTTGTTTTAATGCTCAGCACAACTGTGTTGTATATCCATGTAGAAACAGCAACTGAGCAAGTATCCACACTTTTTGATTTGTGCATATTCATGACTAGCTAATTGTTTCCATTTTAAA